CTATGGCAAGTTTAAGTGAGCCTATATCTCACTCTATGTGTCCAAATTGCTTGATTTTGGTCTCAAATTGTTCCTTGTTGTCTTACATCTATTTCTTTGTTTAACATTTTCACTAATTGTGTCATCCACATTTTTGAAAGAGTGCTAGAAAGTTACAGGGTCATCTAGTTGGAATTTTGTTTTTCCAGAGCTGTTGACCAACTTGTGTGATTTTCTGGGAATGATTGAGAAAGATTTTTTAGCTGAAATTTTTATCACCTCATCCTCTATATCTTGGATGTATCATATAAATTTTTCAAAGGATTTGGATTAGGGGATTTCCTCATACAAAATTCACAAGCTCATTGGCTCCAAAAAGCAAGCTCCAGGATTTCCAAAAACTTGGACAACACTCCAAATGAGAATTCCTAACTCTCTACTCATTTAATTTGTGTGATTTTTGTTTGTTTGTGTGATTGTTTTTCATTGTTTATAAAGTTCCAAAAAAAGAAAAAAAATTCCTTTGCTCTAGCATTTTAGGTTCGTTTAATTTTTGTTTCTTGAGTCTAAAGCCATTGTTAGGTTACATTTTCTCTTGTTTGAATTTTGTTTATGTTGTTTGTCTTATTCTAATTTTTGGTTGAGTATTTGGAATTTTTATGGAAATTTTTTTGTGTTTTCTGTTATTTGTTTTTGGAGCTTGTTTGTGTATTTTGATTAATCATGTTTCCTCATAATTATGATAGTACACCTTATTATACTAACTAATTTCAACCACAATACAATTTTACTCACCAACAAAAGGATAAATATTGTGTGCATTGAGTCTCCTTACCAATTTTATTTTGAGTGTCTTTTGCTTGTATGATATTTGTAACATCCTAGATTTTAATTCTTAGTTGATTAGTGGGATAACTGGATTTAATCTGTTAAATGGAGTTAGAGAATAGTTAGTGAATGCTAAGGTAATGTGGTGTGTGGTTATAAAGAGCTAATGGATGTTTTGGATGGTGATTGGGTTCCGAGTGAAGTCGGGCCACCCGAATGTCAAAAACTGAGAAAAACAAAAAGAAATAGCCTTGTATCACATGAGCATACTAGCCAGTCAGAACACAAAGAGCCCTCTCTGTACCGCATGCCCTGGCATGTGGGGACATGCACCACGGCTCACAGTACAATTTTTGTAGAAATAAGTTACAGACTGAGAGATAGAAATCAAAAGAGGAAGAAGGGAAAAATGAAAGAGCTCATCTTTGCTCTACTATGGCTTCAATTTCAAGAAAGTTAAAGGTATTTTGAAGCTATCAAATCTTAAGAATAAGTTTCCTAACCTCTTCTTCTCCCTCCCCAACCTATTTTCTTGAAATTTTTGTTAGGTTTTAATAGTATGAGATCATTGTTAATCCATATAAGTTATGGGACCAAATTCATTGAGCTAGATAGAGTTAATTGAATAAAGGGTTTTAGACATTAATGGTAATCGAGAGCCATTAATGTCTGAAAATAAGCATAAAATATGAAATTATGCAGGTTGTTGTGCCATTAATAACAATATGAGAGTTTAATGAAGCTATTGGGAAATAAAGAGAGTTAGCAAACTCAATGGATAGGCCTAAATGTAAAAAGTAAAGGCATTAGGTATTTTAGAAATGGAAAAGGAGAGTTAGAAGTGTGTATCTATATTAATTCAATAAATTATAAATTTTTAATTAATAAAACAAATTTTAATTAGATTAGTTTATTTATAGATATTACATAATAATAAAAAATTTCATCAAAATAATTAGAAACATTTGTTTATTTAAAATTTTTAATTAAACTCGTGCGATTAAAATAATTAAATGATATTATATATAAATTATTTACATTTATTAAACAAAATAAAATACTAATTTATATTAAACATTAGAATAAGTTTAGACTTGATTAATTATAGATTAATCATACGAACACCATATTTGGCTTGAAAAGCAAGCTTGGAAGCTAGTTATTTATGGGCAAACTTTTGACCTCTTAAAGATTTGAGGCAACCATGAAAACCCTATTTTAGATGGTTGTTTGTTCATTGAGTTTTAATTGTGAAAATGTGCATATTGGCATGTATCATTTAATTGTGAATGTGAAAGCATGCCCTAAACTTTGATGATTGATTGAATTGTGAATTTATATATTTGTTCGTTTTGACTTGAAATGTGGAGTTAAATTAAAAGTGAATTTTTAAAATTATGAATATCTATACATATATTGGAATGAGAAGTGTGATGAAATGTAATGTGGTGATTATGTGTTACGGAAAAAATTGATGATTTAGTAAAGTGAAGAACATTTGTGAAAACAATATGGATGCTCACTTGGGTAGCTTGATGTCGCAGACCCAATGTCTGATATTGAGTAAATGAAATTGTGAAATGAATACGTATTGTATATTGCATGATAATTTGGTGAGAGTTTGCCTAAAGAGAGAAGTAAATAAAATCCATACAGTACTTATAGCTCCCTTTCGATACACAAAATATAGCTTTATCCCACTATTTGTTGAGGGACTAGAACCCAGTTATCTCTACCTGTTTATTGAGGAGATTAGCTTAGGGTATATAACATTCTAGAGATTCGAGAGTGGGGGAAGCCATGGTCTGAGAGTGAGTTCTATGATCTTTAGTTGGGTTACACCTCACAATTGGTGAGCTTGGATAGTCCAATCACATGATGGAGCCCTGTTTAATATTACAGCCCACGGTTTCAATCAGAAGATATAAGACGGTATAAGGTGGAATTGATCATGCACATGTGTTTATTTAACATATCGCATAGTTGTTAAGTTTGTGGCAAGTCGTGATAGTGAGTGTGCCATTATCACATAGTCATCTATGTTGTGGTAATGTGTATGGAATTAATGAATTGGGTCATTATCACATATCTGTGTATCTTGTGACAATATGCCCTATGATTTGAGATGAGAAGTATGGAAGTTAGTTAAATTGTGAAATGATAACTTGTATCACATGTAATTGAATGTTTTGAGTAATTAACTCACTTTTATGTGTTTAGATCAATTGATATATAACTATATAGGATAGGTGTACCTTAGTTATTGAATGCTTAGACTCACCCCTCTTTTTTAATATTTTACAGACTCTAGTTTTGGTGCAAAAAATGGAAAGACTCCGAAGGCTTAAGAATTCATGAAATTCCTACTGTAAAGCTTTCTCATTTCATTTATTTTGTGTAATGCATTGGATATTGCCTATTAGGATTATATTTTGCATACACTTGTACTAATTGATGTTTATGATTTTTGAAATATATTTTGGGCCTTGGAATGTTGTTTGTAAGTTGTTTAGGTGTTTAGTAAGGTTAAAATACTAGTGCAATTATAGGGTTATTAATTTAATTTTAATTATGGATGTTGATTATAAAATGTGATGCTAAAACTTTCCCTTCTATTTTTTATATTAAAGGGGTTGACGAGTAAAAATTTAATATGATTGAGATTATGTGTGTGTGGTATGTTGCATAGGTAATCCTAAGTCTGTTGAATGTGTTCTAGGTGTTAGGAATTGCTTTTAGTACATGTGTAGGGTTTTGGATACAATTGATTTGTGAAAAGTGAGAAAAGATGTGAAATGTGTTTGGATGTTCAACTTCCTTGTGTGGCTTAATTTAGAAGTAAAACTCATGCCATTAACTAGTTTATGAAGAGAATTTTTCATAGACACCTAGATCTCTTCATGTAGACATCGAATGGAGAAAAGAGACACATTAGAAGTAGCCCTGAGTTGTTGTCTAAAAATGTGCAACACACCATGGGGCATGTTGCCTATGCCACGGCACGTGGCACAAAGCAAAATAGCTGTGGCACATATGCACAAGCGACAGCACACTATTTTGTTTCTTACTCCTTGATTTTTTTTCAACAGATTTTAAATCTTTTCACTTCTCTAAGATATCCCATGTTTCTAAAACATTATTTAACTTTAATTTGAGGTTTAGTAAGTAATAGTTTAGTGAAATTGATTTATCAAAACTTGAGATCTCATTTCTACAAATTACAAACTTAGTGATCTAATTTGGGTTAATCCAAAGATTACCTTGGATTTAAGTGTTAAATGTGATTAGGCAAGGGAGAAATTACAATATTCACCACCACATTATGAATATCAAATGGGAGAACCACAAATGGATTGCAACCAAGGAGAAGTTTAAATGTTTCAAGGAATATTAAATGCTCAAGAAGATATGCCATAAGGGTTACAATCTTGGGATTGTATGAAGATATACTTCTCCAAATCAACAATTCATTGCAAGCTTTCCTAAACCAAGAGTCATCTTCTTTAGGTAACAATTCTCCTATTTCTATTAATGTTAATTCTTCTTCACATTTGATTTTTTCTAATGATGAGTATAATGATTTAAATGATGATGACATAGATGAAGAACTTATAATTGAATCATCTTGGATGTTTAAGCATGAGTTATATTGTGAAAAAGTATATTCTTGAGAGAAAAACACTTTGTGTTCACATTATAATTTTCTTGATTTAAAGTCAAATATCATTGGAAGTTTTGATTTTTCACTTAGCTTGAATGTAAAAAATGAGATGGATGTTGATGGTGGGGATGATATATCTTCTGTGCATGAAATTCTAATTTTTTCTTATGATGTTGTTGATAATGCACATGCACTTGTTTGTTCTAACCATGATTCACTTGAGAAAGGTTGTTTACCTTCTTTTATAGGTGAACTAGATAATGTGGCTGAACCATCTCTTGATTTCAAGAAGGAACTTGATCAATTTGAAGAGGTTAATGTGCAAGGGTTATAAGAAATTGAGGATAAGTAACAAGAAAGGGTGAGTTTGGAGGACTTAAAGCGTGAGGAACTTGAAGTTAAAGAAAATGCTCTTGCAAAGCCCAATGGTGTAAACATAAAAGAGATTAATTTTAAAGAATTTTCTTCACTCGAACTTCATGTCCATGAGATTCCCAAACTAGTGGAAGAAAATTATGCATTTGTAATACATATGGCCGAGCATTCCATTGAAATATTTGAGGAGGCTGTGGCCCTTAGTGAAGAATTGCATAAAGAATTTAAAGTAACTCATGATGACATAGAGGTTAGGGAGCAAAGAAATGATTTTGCAAAACCCAATGGTAATGTAAATGGTATTGATTCTACGCTTGATGAACTTAATAATGAATTGGCTTTGTTTCATAGTACTTATCATAACTCTTTGTTCACTTTTTGTTGTTCACATGATTCTCCATACTCTATTTGTTTAGAAATTAATTCATTTGTAATTGAAAATAGTAGCACTCATTCATTTTGATGAAATAGTTGATGATGAGCATGATGTATATTTATTTGGAGTAATCATGAGTGCATTTCTTTGAAACCAATTATGCTTGAGAGAAGGGTCTTTTGTTGATTTTTATAGGAATACAAGATGCTATGGCCAAGAATTTTCATGAACTTAGAGAATTTATCACTGTAATAGAAGAGACCTTGGCTAATAATGAAGAAGACGAACAACATGAAGTTATGAAAGATTCTAGACTCTACATCTTGGAGTTATTACTAATTGATTCTGAGCTTCCACCCAAGATGTTTGGATAGAAGATTACAATGAGTAGCTTTATGCTACTCCTCAAATATATGAAAAATTTTAACTTGAAGAGCTTGTAAAATTTAAACTAAGTTGCATCTTCTTCATTCTTGCTTTTTACTTTACTTTACCTATTATTTTGATTTGTTGATTGAGTAAAGTGCAAGTATAGGAGGAGAAATGTCTCCATTAATAAAAGGTAGATTTTGTTGTTTTTTATTTGTTCATTCCATAAGAGATTGTATTGCATTTATTTTCTTAAGGTCTTCACCAAAGTCATGACTTTGGTTGTCTCAACCAAACACCTTTTTTAAGGCACTCGCATAATATTTTTTATCATGCGTGCATTCATCTTCATTTTACCTTGCTATATCATGAGTCTAGGCATATATTGAGGATAATGTATGCTTTAAGTGTGGGAGAGAGACATAAATATTTTAGTTTGTTATCTTTTGGTTTTTGGAAAAATTTTTGAAAAGAAAAAAATTGTTTTGTTTTTGTTTGAAGTTATTTAATGAAATTTATTTTTTTGATTTGATTTGAATCCTTGAGACTTGGTAGGAAATTGCTATGAAGTTTAAATAGTTGAGAAGTGCGCTTGTCTTTATCTTGAATAAATGGATATGAGTAGCAAATTACCTTTATTAGAAGGAGCCTTGGATATGAGTATCAAATTATCCTTGTCAGAAGAAGCTTATAAACTCTTGTGTGATTTGTTTATTTACCTAATTTACCTTCTAGAACTTGACTCTTTTCTGATCAAGGCTATATCTTACACTTGTTGCTTGGAAATATAGAGGCAATTTATATAAATTGAGCTAGAGACCAAAAGGCTAACCTTCATATGATTATCCTTTATTTAACCCTTTTGAGCCTTTTGTACTAACTCTTTTAAAATGTCACTTAAATCCCTCATTCTTAAGAAATGCATGTTACTTTCTGTTGCTTCTCAATATGCTCGGCATGATTTAAACTGAAAAAAGTGAATTTCTATAGTTTGTTACTTTATCCACTGTCAAGGAACAAGGATTATTTTTTTTTAAAAAAAAAGGTGGAGCAATTTCAAAAGAAAGGGAAAAGAAAGATAAAATTAAAAGAAACAAGAGCCAAAGGAAAAATGATTGAAAAAAATATATAGATTGAGAAAAAAAATATATATATATATATATATATATAAAGAGTATGAAAAGAGAAGAAAAACAAAAGAAATATTAGAAGAAAAGAAGTGGAAAAAATATTTAAATAAAAGTTTGCTTAACTAATATAAAACGCCCCTTCTTTTCTTAATATTTTTTACTTTATTGAAAAGATTTTTTTTATTTGAATTACTTTATGTCTTGTGAATAGAGAAGAAATTTTGAAATTGGCATTTATTTTGCGCCTAATTTTTGTTTTTTTACATGTATTTTTAGTTATCCTTTCTTAAGCCACAATACATTTCTAAGAATTCTCTTGATTCATTATGTAAGTGCTATGTAGTAGTGGAAATATAAAAAAGTTGCAAACCTATAGAAACATGATTGATTAAGTGTGTATTTGATTTTTAGTTTGTCAAAAGTTTATTTAGTAAAAATTAATTTAGTGAAAGTTAGTTGTAATGAAATTTGTATTTGTATACATTTTTTCAAAAGTCAGTTTGATACACTGAAAATTGTTTGATTTGTGATAGTGAAATATACTTTTGAATGTACAATTATCAAAAATAACATTAACTTATGATGATTTATAATTTTTATTATATAAATGTAATATATTTGAAATATTTAAAAATGTGATAAAGATTTTAAATAACATAAATTTTGATTCATAATGCTAAAAATTTAATCTCTAGTTATTTGTATTTTTTTAATTTGTAATTTTAAAAAATGTGACAAAGATTTATAATTTTTATTATACATTAATGCTAAAAATTAACATGATTAATTATTTAATCTACAATGCTAAAAACTTGATACCTAATTATTATTATTGAAATAATAATTATTTTTTTAATGAATTAACTATTTTTTAAATAAAAAAATAAGAGATTAAATTTGGGGTAGTATGGTCAAATAACATCTTACTTTTTAAATTCACTTTTTAAAAGCTTTAAATAGTTATGTTTCAGAAATTCACTTTCAGCGATTATTTAAATGTACTTTCAGGATATGCCTTCTTACAAAATATTTTACCTAAACAACTTTCAGCTTTCTGAAAGTAAAATTTTATTTTCTGAAAGTGAAAAGCAAGAAAAACAAATGGACCCTAAGTGAACTTGAGTAAAATTTATACACCTTAAACACTTGAGAGTTGAGTTCATACACTTATCCTTATGAGGTTACTCATTAAGATCATGTTTGCTTACTAAAATATAATATAATGGATTGGATTAAAAAAATTAAAATAAAATTGAACTCAATTACCTTCCCCTATAATAAGTATAATAAAATTCATTAATATATACTACAAATGTGAGAATAATCACACCTTTTAAAAATTTTATGAATCATAATTTTCAACCCTATGAACTAAATTACCTCTCTCTCTTATAAATGTATTCACCTATCCTCTTTAATTATCTTATTTTTACTTTTATTTTTTCAATCTATTTTATTTTATTTATTATAATAAATAAACGTGACCTAAAGTATATTCTTGATGAAGATATATTTATGAAATACTAAATTTTTTTATTCTAATTGAATTGATAATGAACAGACTCAATTGCTGGCTAAAAAAAAAAAAGAACTCAATTTGCTATTATTGGAGTGGCAAGTGTAACCAGGACAATTCGGACGGTTCTAACCCTTTCATTTAGGCAGATATTTTTTTTTTATTATTATTATTTGGCCAGAATTCATCGAGGCGGATTTAACATCATAAAACTAGTGAACATCGTTGATTCCATGTGTCCGATATCTGTCTTTTCCAGTTTCTCTCCTTCACGGCTACGGAGAAGGGAAAATGGTAGTGTTCCCCCTACCTGCACATTTTTTCGGGAAAATAAAAATAAAAAAATTACATCCAACACCTTCCAAAAAATTTAATAACAAATAAAGATAAATGTAAAACGAGTTATTATTAAAATAAAAACATAATTTATTTTTTTAAATAAAACTTATTATTGATTCTTATTTGTAATTAATTCTCTTAAGAGAAAGCTAAATGTGATGTTCTCAAAAATAATTGTTTCCTTGTCTGTTGATTAAATTAGAAAAAAAATCTCATTTAGAGATTCTAAAATATAAAAATTTATACTATAAGCCCAATTTTGTTATAGACAAAAAGATGCAATTGCTTTTGTTTTAAGGATATGTCTATATATGTACAATACGATCTCTACAAATTTTCAACACAATATTTATGAATATATAATACATTTGATGAACATGATCTAAAAGTGAAATGTTCAAAAAGCACAATATCCATCAATTCTCAACACAATAAACATATATAGACTTATGATATTTGTACAACATAAGATTCATAATGAGCAATATACTTTCATTAAAATAATATATTTTAAGTTAATATTTACTAAATGTATTGTGTATTTATAAATATTATATTAAAAATTTATGAATATTATGTTATTGATACATGCACGTTTTAGTGAGAAAAAGACAAATATATCTTTTTATTTACAATAAAATTTGTAAAAAGAGTGCTTAGACTTATAAGATTTATTTGGTTCAAAAAAAAAGAAAGGTAAAGGAAGAGAGAATTTCCCTTTTAATTTTTTGGGGTGGGGGGGAGGTTTTGGAGGGAAGGAAAAAAATTTTCCCTTCCCTCCATCAAACCAAAGGGAGGGACGGCTCCCGCCCTTTCCCCTTCCCCTTTCCCTTCCCCCTTCGGCCCTTCCCCCAACCAAATATACTCATAGTGTGTTTTTAAATTTTACCGAGTCTGCAATGTAAATTTTTATGTTTTGACAGTCGTGAGATTCTCGCATTAAATTATCCTCAGTCACGTTTCCCACTGATTTTTAATGGTCAACATGTTTCAACTTCCAACCTTTCCAATACTGAAGCCTAGTAATTATAAGGTACAGGATCACGTGACCTAGAACTAAAGAGTAATAGCCATCGTTTTTTTTATTAATAAAATAAAACTTGGTCCATTTAACAAAATATTTGAGCTATAATTTATAAGATTATAATACTAAATTCTGATGTTAATATAAAAATTTTGCTAAGATTGTGATCTATAAATAATTTTATAAATATTTTTTTAAATTTAGAGACATATCTTAATCCTTATAAGTTCATAGATCTAACTCACTTCTTTTTTTTTTTTAAGAATTAAGTTTGCATGCACCATGAATGTACGTGTGTACGCGCACGGAAAAATACTTAAATAGATTATATGCATTTCATTATTTATAATTCATTTAATGAAAATATAATATTTATATAATATTAAATATAAAATAATTTTAATATTAATGATGATAGGGAGAAAAAATAAAAAATCAAATATATATTCTATTATAAGAATAAAATTAATTTTTAAAATATCATACAAAATTTTATTTAAATTATTTAAATGATATTGTCTATCTCCATGTGTATGTAGAGTCTGTTTGGATACTCGTTATGAACCAATTCTGAGATCAAAATCATGATTTTGCAAACATATATCCAAATACTCTTATTTTATAAAACTTCATTTGATTTAGGAAACTTTATTTTAAAAAAACTGAAATTTTCTTCATTTGCAAAATTTCATTTGGTTCCTTTTTTTTTCTTTTGTATCATTTATTTGCACATTCAAAATTTATTCTTAAAAAATCATTTAAATATATTCAATTTATCAAAATTAATTTTCAAAGATTTATTCAAATATTATCATATTCTAATAATTAATTTTTTTATAATTAATTTTTTCTATTCAAATCCAAACGCACCCGTAGATGTGTTGTGGACCTGGGCCCAAGAAAAACCAAAAAAAAAAAGGGAAAAGGTGTAATTGTCAAAAGCAAAAAAAAAAAAAAGAAAAAGGTGTAAGTATTTTGGCCGGATGTTTTATTATCTGTTATGTGACTGCCAAGTTGGGAATAAGGGCCGGACTTGATGGGCCGCCCGTTTAAACCCGTTTTAATAAGGGTTTGGACTTAAAAATTTGACATTTTTTAGGGTAATCGAGCTTCAAAGCCCGGCCCTTTTAAGCCCTAGAAAAACGGGCTCTGGCCCGGGCGGCCTGTGAAGCGCGTTTTACTATTCACAAAGTATTATTTTCACCTCTTTCCGAATAATGTGCAAACATTAATTTGTGTTTTGTACTAGCAATTGATTGAATTGTTTTGTGCCATTTTATAGTAATTTTTATATTTTATCTTGTGATATATGTATAGATATATATTTGATAATAAAACAATTTAATTCATAATTATTGTAGGTGATGATGAAGAAGTTGCAGAAATAATTAATATTGAGTCTCCACCTTCATCTTTCACAAGTGGACCTACATCTGAGGCTTTTAATATTTTATTTATAGATGATAATGAGGGAGATCTTGATTAGGATTGATGATGATGTTTGCCTTCATCTTATTTGGACCTTTAAATTTTTTTTTATTTTTTAAATTATGTGAGACTTTGGTTTGATATATGTTAAATTTTAAAATATTCTAAATAAATTTTAATATTAAATTTTATTTTATTTTATTTTATTTTTATCCGGGCTTATGGGCCCGACCCTGAGCCTTATGAATAAGGGTCGAGCTTCAATTTTAAGATAAAATTAGGGTAACCGAGCTTTAAGGCCTAGATCCATAAGGGTCGGGCCCATAAAAGTTGGGCTCATAAGGGTTGAGTTCATATAAACTAGACTCGCCCGTTTACCAACTCTAACTGTCATTTCCAAGGGGCAACAGATTTTTCTTTCTTTCTTTCTTTTTTTCCACAAGGGGCAACAGGTGGAAATCCGGATTCTCTCATAAGCTTGCCTCTCGGCGTGTTTCAGTGGCTCTTTGATCCAGACCATTCAAGCTATCTAATTTTCCAAGTTTTGCCACATCATCCCCTACAGTCAAAAAATTTGGCCTTATTTGATATAATTAAATTTTATTAAAATATTGCAATAAATAAATAGACTTATAGAAACTTATAATTTAATCTATTTAAAATTTAACCTGACTTATGTAATAAAAATTTATTTTAAAAAAATCAGCAAAGTGAATATTAGAGCAATTTTTTAAATAAAAATGATAAAAAAATCTGTTTGCTTTTTGAAATTATCCAATATCCTTACATGGCCTGTTTGATGTAAATAAATTATTTATAATTAATGTTTATTAAAATATTAAAATAAGTAAATATATTTGTAGGGATATAAAGTTTGTTTTATTTAAACTTTAGCCTGACTATTTAACAAAAATTTGTTCAAAATTTATTCTAAAGAATTACTCTACAGTTTTTTTAAATAAATTTTTCTAAATAGATCAATCCAAAGTTTAAATAGATTAAGTTATAAATTCTTACAAACTTGTTTACTTATTGTAACATTTTGATAAAATTTAATTACTCTATCTGAATCATAGTATAGAGCATTTTTTAAAAAAATTATTTGGCATAATATATAGAGTATTGAATAACTTTTTTTAATTTTTTTTAATTATATCTTCACTTCATTTATTATTTTTATAAAAATTATAAATTAAAATTTTAATTACTATTATCAAAATTTTTGTACAGTATATTTAATAAAATTAAAATGAAATGATGGGTCCTAGGAATATTTTAAAAAATTTAAATAATATTATATATATACACTTTTTTTTTAACAGTTAATATATTATTTAGAAATCATGAATTATTAATTAAGTACCATTGCGGTGCAAGAATACATCATACAAGGCCAACATTTTTGGCCTTAAGGGATAACGTGGCAAAACATGGGATCTTAGACAGCTTGAATGGTCTTGCACAGAAAGATAGCTTGAATTGTCGGATCAGAGAGCCGACGAGAGACGCTGAGGGGCAAGCTTTTGAGAGGATCCGGCTTCGCGGAACAGAAGCACATTCGAGACTTTTTGCGTTGAGTTTAAGTACAGATGTCCTCATCAAAATTCGGGTCTTCTCCATAAAGCTTTCATTTCAACGAGGTGTAACAGTGGAGGGGAGGTTTTTGAAGAGATCGAACCGCTTACCTAAATCGAATCGGCTCCAGCACATCTTCCGATCTTCGCTTGTCCAACGAGGCAAGGCTTCGTCGTACGCATCCACATCTTCAGAGATGAGGCCACTTCAAGTTGCTCTGTGCCTTAACAAATTCAAACCAGGGGATAATCGGCTGTGCTCATCTCTTCCTTTGGTTACTCTAGGCTCAACTTTGTTCTTGAACAAGCTTGCCAAAACTCTTCAGTATTCCTCAGATCCGCAGCTAGATCTTGTTATTTTCATGGTATATGAGATAGATCGATCAGATGTATGGAAGCAGATGGGCCGTTGTGTGGTGGAATTCGCAAAACAGAGAAAAAGTAATCACAACAGGTAATCCAGTTAGGAGATACAGCTCTATTCAATTACTTGTTCGAAATTACTTTTCTTTTTGTGCTTACTTGGAATATCACTAGCTAAATTACATTTCACTTGAAGGTTAGAGAGGTACTGCATTATTCGTTAATTATAGATGCACATCTAATTAGTTATGGTTGCCTATATTGTCTTTTTGATGAGGAGAGAGGATAGCAAGAATGGCTCTTATATAAGAAGCACATTTTTAATGGAAAAATAATCATTTTGTAACGATGAGAAGTTTAGTTTTTTTTTTTTTTAAATCTTGCAAATAAGATTGATGATACTGTTTTAAATTTTATATTTTGACTGTTTTTTCATGTGCAGAGATGAAATTGTGCATCTTGGAGAAACTGCCCGATCTGGGTTGATGAAGTTGGATGCTATGCATCTTGACAAACAAAATGCACATGGAACATCATTATTAAGTGATGAGTCATTTGCAGTTTAAGAATGGGTGGAATCGAGAAATGAAATTTTATAGTTATCCTAATGGATAACTGTAAAATAAAGTTAGGAAGATATGCTAATGGCCTTCCATTAGCATTAGAAGTTTGGCTTTTCTTTTTTTAATGAAAGTAAAAATAAATGGAAAAGCCAATTGGAAAAGCTTAAAAAATTTCTTGTATAGAAAGTCAATATGCATTAAAAGTGAGTTTTGATGGATTAAATTATGTTGAGATATCTAAATGCATGACTTGATACAAGAAATAATTTAAGTAAAATGATTAGATTAAAGCTTTTCCAATTAACTATTTGAAATGAATTGCATTGATGCATGATTTGATACAAGATAATGACTTGAAGTAGTTAAAAAGGTTTTTGTTTAGCTAAAACAAAGCCTTCTTAACTTTTTTATTTTTAAAAATTAATTGTATCAATGCATGACTTGATAGAAGAGATGGGTTGGATGAGGTAAAAATCTTTAAAAAAGAGTAGTTTTATCTATTTTTAAAGAATGAACTATAGAAATGCATGATTTGATACGAGAAATGAGTTGAGTGAGCTGAAGTGTCATATTTTTAAGAATCAATTATATCAATGCATGATTTGATACAAGAAATTGATCAAGACATTCTTAAGAAATCTATGGAAGATCTTGGAGAACAGTTGATTATGAAGTCTTAAGGATATTTTTGTCAAGTACATGGTAAGAGTCAAATTTATATGAACTATCTTTGTGAGAAACATTTAAGCAATGGAATGTGTCATTTAACACTGTTTTGAATTATTTACTGATTTTGGTTATTCTTGTTTTACTAGGATGCACAAGCCAATAGCTCTAACCATGAAGAGAATGACTATCATCCTTTTAGGGCCTTGTATCATCTTGAAAGAAATAAGATATCTTCATTGGGAAATTTACCCTTTCATGTTATTGCTGTGCATATTTTTGGCTGAAATCTTCTTTATGCTTGAGTTCCAGCTGTGTCAGAAAACATTGGCATGTGGTCCAAGTAAGTATGTAAGTACTTTTTGGTTTTCTATTCATTTAAGAGTCAAATCAGCCTTTTGAGAAGCCATTTGATATGATCTTTCTCTCTGCATTTACTTAATCTTTTGGATTTACAGGAACTTGAGCTTGGGAAATTCGAACACTTGAAAGAGCTACCTATGTTTCCATGGCCATTTGTTACTACATCTCAGTCTCTCTGAATGTTCAAGACTTGGAATTTTCTCTGAAGAAAATATGATATGGTCCAAGTAAATATGTAAGTACTTGTTTGGTTTTCTATTCATTTAAGAGTTTAAAGCAACCTTTTGAGAAGCCATATGATATGATCTTTCTCTCTAACTTTACTTAATCTTTTGACTTCACAGGAACTTGAGCTTGGGAATTTCAAACACCTGAAAGAGCTCCCCATGTTTCCATGGCCATTTATCATTATATCTCAACCTCTGAATGCTCAAGGCTTGGAATTTTCACTGACGTAAGAGTATGCGATACAGTTGAACTGAATTAGGACAGCTATCGATGAATTTCCCTTGGTCATTGGGCATTTGAACAAGATTAACCATTCTATCTAGATTGCTGCAAAACTTTGTTGAAACTTCTGAACATATTGGATGACTTGAGATCTACTGGAAGATGTAATGCTTGAGGTTGCAGGCCTCTTGGTTCATCCATTTGTGATAGTCTGTGATCTCCAGAATAACCAGGGCTGAGTAATAGTTGCCAGTAGTTACTACTTTTGGCCTTCTGGGCATGGGCTTGGTGGAACTGCTATGGAGGGATTGCTTGCAAGCATTGAGCGTCTTTTGAAGCTGAAGTATCTTCCAATTACATCAGACTACAGAATGCCAATTACTGTAAATCCTTAGAGACACTACAGTTCGCTTCGACTCAGTGCTGTTCTTGAATGGACAATGGAAATGGGATGTGTAAGATTAACCCAATTTGTGTGCAAGTGCATGAAACGGGCTTCCATTCTATTGATATGTCATCCGCTCCACATTTGGAGTTTTATTTTCTGTCGTTTCCATCAAATTTGTTGGGTGGCATCAATTTTGCACGCTTGGAGCTTGGAAGCTAAGTCTGTAATGTTCAAATGTAGAATTGTGTGTACTGTGTCAATGACAGTGATGAGGATGAAGTTCCAGTACTTTATTAGAACTGGGAATACGAATCATGCTTTTCTAAAGTATTGTGGAACTTTCTTGTTTTGAATAAATGGAAAAATATTGAAGGGTGCAGGGCTATAGTCACTACATCAGTTATACTTGAAAATGTGCATAACAGGTTCATGGAATTTTTATTTCAATTTGAGCTGATTATATTCTATAAATATAATTCAAATTATTTTGGTTTAAGTTAGCAGTTGAAAATTTTTTATTTAATGTTTAGTATTTGTTGAATTGAAAATGAATATTTTTTAAAAGAAAAAAGTGGAAGAATGAAAAAAAAAAGAAATACAAGCTAAATAATGACATTTAGATGATCTAAACTTTGAACGTCTCTCGATTGCTCCTCTTGCAGAAAAGATTAAGAATTATATTTTTCTTGTTAGTTTACATTTTTTTAATGAACAGACTAGATGTGGCTGAATAAAGCAGTAATGTGTTCTTGGACCTAGGTACATGGTTGAATGTTAATTTACCATGCGTATTTTGGTAAGGTTAATACTGGACACAACATAAAGTGCCAATTTTGCCCATAAGCCTCTCTTTGCTTTCCCAAGATACGGTCACTACACAGATCAAGACCAAATTTGCCATGCAATGAAGCCACGTCATTTAAATTTCTGTTGGGAACATTTTGGAAGATCACAACAAAAAATGTCCAATAATTGTGTTTTTAATTTCTACATCTCAAGACCAAACCATGGTTAGAGCTTTGCAGGAGGTTATACCAAATAGGAGCACAACTTACATTACATTTAATGCATAATGGCACAAGGCATCTTGAAATTCTACTGAAGGGTGGCTCACACTTTTCGCGGGAGTTCAAGAAATGCATGTGAGGAGACAGTTTGAAGAAGCATGGACCAAATTGCTTTCACCAGAGTCTCCAAAAAGGAAAAAAACACTGAGGATCATTTGGTTGTTGGAGTCTACATTAATGAGAATGTCTTATACTTAAGCATGATGTGTTGTTTACATGTCCTAACATCATCCTTTCCATAAAAATCTTATGAATCATGACTTTCAACTCTTCTTACAATTAGAAAGGTAGGCACTAACGGCCTAAGATTATAAGCAAGATTAAACTCACAACCTCTCATTTACAAGGAAGCTTGTGTGACACTAGGTTACAAGCTCATTGGCCATAACTTCCAACTCTAAATTCTCATTTGAACTAAATAATCCCTCCTCCTTCATGAGCATTTCTTCTTTTTTATGAACAAAATTTAAATGAATTGGATCTAAAAAGTTCACCAAGATCAAGATATTTCTCTTATTTTAAAGAACACTTCAAAAAACACTTACAAATTATCTACCAATACAATCTTCATATCAGTAGTGAGATTTGATCTTACAATCTTTTAAATTATAAATCAAACACTTATCAACTTCATTTTTTGGACTAAGGGTTATGAAAGATTGATCCCTCGTGAGCATTTCTAACCTATCATTCATTCACATTTTCATCACTTTATTTTTATTCTTATTTCTTTTACATTCCACTCTCAACATTTTCAAGAACATGGTGTCACTTGAAGAATGCATTTAGATAGTAAAGACACTCAAATAGTAATCTTTCTCTTGCAAGACAGTAAGAGTTGCACCTTCATAAATGCGTGACAAACAATTACGCAAGAGTCAATGCTACATCATTAAGCGACTTACGCAAATACGGAAATCTCTATAGAGAGGAGAGAACTTCATAGAAATCTCTATAGAGAGGAGAGAACTTCATAGCCACCTTTAGTTTAGGCTTTTAGCTCCAATGACAAGGTGGCTGTAGGACAGAGAAATAAAAAGTCCAAACTCCCAATTGAAAAAAAAAGAGAGAACTTCGTAACAATAAAGAGCAGAGATATTTCTCTCATTTTAAGAATTTAGTAATTTTGAAATGTAAAAATCGACTCCCCGAACAAAATACCTTGCGCTTACACTTCCATTTCTGTCTGCTTGACAGACTATGAAAGAGGACCATTGTAACTATTTCATTTACTTCATATCTGCTTATGCTAGCAAGTACATAAAAAATCCGCCAATGCTCTAGTTCTTTGCCTTCGCTCTTATAAAACAATAATACATTAAAGAAATCTGTACAAAGCCTTCTAACACTCACTGCTCAGCTGTAAGGCCCGTGGGTATTGTTAGGTTCATCTACAGCTTTGCTGAACTAGGAAACAGTGAAATAGAAATACAACAAAAATGAATAGTCCCCATACTAAAACCCACTTTCACATCCGTTTTAGTATAAAGTACTATTTTAATAGTCAGCCAGGTTGTAAATTAAGACTAGCAGCTTTGCTGAACTTCCATCTCAGGCTCCTTTCTTTTTTTGATCTTTTGAAGATTTAATATCCTTCGTCAGCATTCTTGGGGCTATGGCCATAGCCATGAGCTCTTGGAAAAGTAGCTTACAAGCATAAGGAATGTAAACCTGCATACATAATCAAAGGCAATAACACAATGCCAGCATTTCAGCACGAAGGAAAAACTGCAGACATGCATTGACATGATAAAAGTAGAATGAAAATGATATTATCAACTGGACCAACAAAATAGGTAGTGTTACTGACCTGAACTATGTCAGTTTTGTTCTTGCAGCCTCTGCATTCAAAAGAATTCTTCTTAAGATTTGCTATGGCTATCAAACCACAACGCTCACACACATGGACTCTATATGCATCACTTTGATCAAATAATCTCTCCTTTAGGAAGTGCGCAGCACCATGGGCTATCATGCAATCTCGTTCCATCTCTCCAAATCGGAGACCTCCATCACGAGATCGCCCCTCAGCAGGCTGCCTCGTGAGGATCTGCACAGGACCTCGTCCACGTGAATGGATCTTGTCATCAACCATGTGTTTCAATCTTTGGTAATATGTAGGGCCAAGGAAAATCATGGCACCTAAGCGCCTGCCTGTATGACCATTATACATGGTCTCAAAACCACGCATCTGATACCCACATTTATGTAGAGCTTTGCTGATATTGTCCACCTGGACAGTGCAGAAATAGATTTTCAAGTTAACTTGAGGTATCTTTACTAGCAAAGAAAAAAGATATAGATCATACAAAAGGAGACGAGCAATGCAATTTTTATCAACTCTTTGTAGAAATCCATTTACACTATATTTTGTGACAACCACCCCACAATTACAACCAAGGTAGAACAGCTTGTTTAATTCCGGCAAACAGCTTGTTCTGGATTAACAGATACAAGATACTTGTAGCTGGAACATCAGTACAGATGACTAACCTTGTAGTCATACATCTTTACCAGATGACAAAAAAGGTAATCATCAAAAAAAAAAAAAAGGCATCTGTACTGGATATACTTCAATTAAACAAGCGGCTCCAACTTTCAACAAAAATAGTTGGCAATCATTGGAGAGGAACATTAAGTGTGACGAGGGAGTTACTTACAGTAACATCTGTAAAAGGTGTAGCATCTCCTTCTTTTCCCATGTGAGCTGCAACCTTTCCCATGATGCACTCAATAAGCTGACCAATTGTCATTCGAGAAGGAATAGCATGTGGATTGACAATGATATCAGGTGTGATGCCTTCCATAGTCCATGGCATATCTTCTTGGGTATAAGTCATTCCAACAGTCCCCTTCTGACCATGCCTACTACTGAATTTGTCACCAATCTGTGGTATCCGAACAGATCTCACCCGTACTTTCACAAATCTCAAACCATCAGCATTTGTTGTCAGCAGAACCTACAGAACAAGCAATGTCCATTGTAGTGAAAAAACATATTAAGAGATTCAACTTTAAGGTAATTTGGATGTTCGCACTTCAAATGCATACATGAATTCTCTCTCCCATTCAAGATTCAAATTTGATGATTACCCCCTTCCCCCTGAAATCGCTAAGCTTCCATTTTCTTCAGATGAAAAATAATTTATTGATAACAGGAAAAAAGATGAAGCAATGTATAAAGACAAAGGACCGAAGATCCTTCCCAAAAACAAACAAGAATAATAAAGACAAGGCCATGCTTCATAAGATCATTTTAATTCCTTCAAATATTTACAAAGGGCAACTTCTAAAGAAACCATTTACAGAACTTCACATAGAAGACACAAATAAATCATATCCCAAAGATGTAGTGAAAGGAAGTACAGGTTAAACATTATAGCATTCCATCCTAATCAAATACGCCACAAACCAGCAAAGTTTTCACCATTCCGAATTACTTTATGCTCATTTTGCCTCCCAAAACCCCTAAACTTGACTGCCAGAGAAGGCCCAACATCAGTTGGATCATCCCAGTTCTAATCTAGGAAACCAAATTACCAAATAGCATACTCCAAAATGATTATTCATTTCCGAACATCTGAGAATCATTAAGCTTCCATAATGCAGGACAATATGAAATGAAGGAAAGAACTATGGTAAAACTTACTTGATCAACAATTCCTGTTTCACTATGACGTAGGCTTATACTGTGATCACGTCTCGTATAACGTGCAGATTGGCCCTGCGCATCATCTTGAGAGATTGGGGTGGTCTTTCCAATGATAACATCCTCACCAGACACTCTAGTACCCTGTTACATAGGAATTAAATTGCTTGAGTCCATCATTTAAGCTTAATTTCAGGACAAGCAGCATAGGATATTCTCACAGCACAGGTTAAATAAATATACTCACAGGTGGTGCTAGGCCATCATCATCTAGCTTATCATAAGAGCCATGCCGCATGCCCTGTAAAATAAAACTTGGTTTATTTCCTATATACAGCCAATAAAGAATCATAAAAGCAAAAGCAAAGCCTAAATCCTCACCATGGTATTAGCTCTGTCTGGTCGACCAAAATCTTCTTTGACAAGAGTTCCCATCTTCTTCTCCTCATCCCTTCAAAAGTTTAAAAAGAAACCTCTTAGAAAAAACAAGAAGGCAAAATATATATATATGTAATTAAAATTTTGGTTACATACACACCTATATGAACGGAAAAACAGAGACCGAAAGAATCCACGGTCTATTGAAGATTGATTCATGATGACAGAATCTTCCTGATTATACCCAGAATAACACGCAATGGCCACAATTGCATTCTAAGATAAATGGGAGGAAAATATGTGAGATCAGGAACCTATTGAAGTCATCACGAGAAAATGATAAGAGACAAAGGAGAATTTACAATTCCAGCAGGAAGTTGCCGGAAATGGAGATGCTCCATGGCTCTTGTAGTGACCAGTGGCTTTTGAGGATAATATAGTACATAGGCCAATGTATCCTAAACGAAAGCAAAAGAAAACAATGATCGCTTGCATCAACAATAAATGCAGACTAGAAAGAAATATTGACAAAATGACAGCTAAAAGTGTACCATTCGAAATTGGTAATTGGTTACATATATTCCCATAGCTTGTTTTCCCATAGCAGACTGATATGTGTTACGCGGCGACTGATCGCATCAACAACATATAAGTAATATGAAGAACACAATTTATTTTGCTAAGAGGACTCCATAAACTCATTTACCTGGTTGTGATCAGGAAAGGGTATGATGGAAGCACATACACCCAAGATCAATGATGGATGGATTTCACAATGAGTGTAAGTATCAGAATAAGCTTCATCTGGATTGATCCTTGCTTGAACGAGATCCTGTCACATTTTATTAACCATTAGCTACCTTAATGCTTCATAATAACTCAATGCACTTACATGTTCAAATCCAGATTTATAACACCAACATTAATGGTCATGGAGATCATAGTGGTCTCTTCTTCTTCTGTATCAATATATTCTATAAACCCCTTGGAAACAAGATCATGCCATCCACCTTCCTCTGGGGATTCCTGGTAACATAAATCAACTAGTGAGAAAATTGCAGGAAACAATGTCAACTACTGAGATAAATTACAGTTTCTACTGCTCACCCTCTGTTGTAAAGCATGAATATCCTTTTTCTTTATGAGAAGCCTTTGTTTATCCACAATAAATAATGGACGACTACAGCGACCATAATCTGTATATATTCGCAATTCTTTAAGGCGGATATCTCTGACAACTCCCACTTCAGTATTAACATCAACCTGCAAACACAAGCCATAAGCACCCAATTGGAACATTATCATCAAAATATGTAAATAATTCAACAAATCAATCAAAAGAAAATAACATATTCAACAATTACCAATGAAACATTTTTTGCAACTCAAATCAATCACAGCATCACATCATATAATACATTCAATATTTTGAAAATCAAGCCAATCATTAAACCAAAAAAGGAAGGCCAGTTAACAGGTAATTAAACAACAATCCAGCCCATTTATTAAAAAACATTAATAAGTTAAGAATTTGCTTTAAGATGCAAAACATAATGCAACCATTACATAAATTCATATTTAATTTAAAGAAAAAAATATAATTTTTGATCTTTCCACTTTTTCTCAATTATCGATCCGATACTTGAACTTTGGTTTAGAACAACTCAGTTCCTATAGTTTTTTAACTTGAAAAACTCAGTCCTAGTAGTTTATTAACTCAGAACAACTTAGTCCCTCTAATTTCTTAACTCAACAAACCACAAGAATTGAGCTGTATCAAGGTAAAGTCTAGGGACTAAATCGATAATTGATAAGAAGTTTAGGGACTGAGTTATATTACCCTTAATTTAAATTCTCTATTGCCATACGTGTAGTAACTACATTAGAGTATAGCATGTGCTGGCCTAACAGTTCCAACTTCCTTTGGATCCAAAAGTGCCAGGCTTGAATCTTCCATGCAAATTTTTTATGCAACAGAATCCAATTCAACATCGATAATTTAGAGGTTCAACAATGTGTAAGCTCAACTGCCACATCCCATTAGTACTGAACCAGTTGACCGGCTAAAGCAAATCCAGTTTGGCTTGTTCATTTAAAACCAATTGCTTAATGAAGCTTCTGGCCATTCATTACCACCATTATTTAAGGTTAAGAACTGGACAGGTTCAACCAGTTAAACCATCCAGTCCAGCTTATTTTTCAGAACAGTGAATTTCTCAAGGGGAAAAAAACTCGAATATCAGTGAAAAACCAAGAAAGAAAAGAAAAACTACTGCAAAGATAGATACTAGCATCGTCAGCAATAAATAGCAAGAAACGTGATCTTTAAAGATAATTGGATAACGCCACTACTCCCTTAGTTTGGCTCTAAGTTCCCTTCATATCAAGTTCTCAAAGAGTTTCACAGTAAAAGAATAGTCACAAGCACCAAATCTAACTAAAGTTAGGAGGCATAGAACACCAAAAAATTAACAAGTGTAATATCAGCTTGCAAATAATTTCATGCAGTGTATTAAGATACATTATGTACTGGTCTGTTTGGATGAAGAATAGTGCAGAAGGAAAATAAAGGATAAGTTTCATTGAAATCTTCCCCTTGTTTGGGCTTTTAATATATGGAAGGGAGGACTGAGGAGAACGCAAAACTATAACTAACCTTCCAATATTGTCTCTCTATTTTAAGTTACATCAATTTGATAAATTTTGGAGGACAAAGTTTTCCCCACAAGAAGTAGAATCAGCTTTTATCAAGCATTTCGCTTCATTTCTCTTCTATTTTGTTTGGATTCTTTCATTCCCTTTCCCTCCCAAGTCCCAACTCCTAAACATACCCTAAGGGAGGGCTGGAAGAAGGAGTATAACATTGATGCTGATAAAAAATCCAACACAGAACATAGGGACGTACAAAATATGACCTACATAGCTTCAAATGTTGTACGACACAAATAAGAGTTCCTATCCTATCACAAAAATATAGCACTAAGAAATAAACACTTACTCGCCGTCTCAATTTTCGCAATGTTCTCACCAACATATCAGGATCACGATGTATGCCCATCCAGCAACCATTTACAAAGATTTTTGTAGCTTGGGGAATAACTGCAGGAGAAATTTCCTACATAATAAAAATCAAAATAGAATTAATTTAGACATAAATATGCATAGAACCAAATATAGATGAAGGGCAAAGTGCATGCACCTCAAAATTCTCTGTACCCCATTCTTCCAAAAACTCCAGGATAGGATATGCTGCTGAACCAACTGTTATATAAACCATCAATGCCAGATTCTTCACTAGTCCACAAGCCTATATAATAGCCATGTCAAAATAATTTACATGTATAAAAAGTGAGCTCCTCATGACAACTAGTAGCTACTAAGACAGGAAAATATATCAAGAGAAAAATACTCACTTGTCCTTCAGGTGTTTCTGCTGGACACATCATTCCCCATTGGGAATTGTGTAATTGTCTTGGTTTAGCCAATTTACCTAAATAAGGAAGAAAGAGAGAAGTTATGACTTAAACACAAAATCATTCTACATGAGACATAATACTTAGTTCATCGATTCTTATAAAATACTGAGTTTATACATCCATATTGACATAATGGTATTATAATGAATACCATTGTTTGGCCCTCTACAGTTAAGGCATACCAACATAGAGCTCAACTGCATTACATTGGATAGCATAAGGTTTACCATAGTAAAGATTAGGCTACACTCTAATGAAATATTTGGCTAAGGTAAAAGGAATTTGTTCGTGTGAGAATCGGTTAGGAGTTAGGTCAAGTGAAGCTGCAGGGATTTTGGAAGATGGTTGAACAAGGTCAGCAGTTTCATGATTTCATCAACTGCTTCCAATGACCCGGGTTTGTAAGGCCAAAATTTGGGAATTAACTACTAAACTAAAAGCCATGATTAACCAAGAAAAAAAAATGCAGATGTGATCATGCTTGGCTTATGAAGTAACATTACCTTCACGCCCAATGGGAGAGTTTAGTCTCCGCAAGTGAGACAATGTGGATGCATAAGTCAAGCGATTGAGCACCTGGAATGCAAGGCAACAAATAAACATATAAATATCATTTTTTCTGTGGGTGCATGTGTGCATGTGCGTGAGAGAGAGAGACTCTTGAATGAACTAACAAACAATAAATAATTGAACCTGTGAAACTCCAGCTCTTGTGCCCGCAGCATTTGCTTGGCCCCAGTTACCAGTAGCAAGTGAGTATTTGAGGCCACTAGTGATGGTTTTTGCCTTGATAGCAAATTGGAGGTTAACATCTTTCCCATTATCAACACACTGCACCATTCACAAAATCAAAGGTTGTAGACCTTGGAAGCATTAATATAGAAAGAGAAATAATTTAATGCTGCTTAGCACACCTTCTGTACATAACCTCTTACATCTCTAGTGAGCTTTCTAAAGAGCTGCATTACAAAATACAATAACCAGAAATTGAGATACACAAAAATGCTTACACAAAGAATGGAAAGAAAAATATCAAAACTCAGGCATTATTAGTTACAAGAGAAACAAACCATCCTAAAGAGACCACCAAGTAAAGGTCCAGCAAGGTCCAGCCTTTTATTCCCATAATGATCCCTATCATCTTCAGCTCTCCGACCAAGTGCGCATAGAAGAAGACGATGAATGATATATCTGTAGGTAGGACAATAATAAGTACAATAAATATTTAAATTGACAGAAGAAATTAACATTTACCAAGAGTAACCTTACCCAAAATAATAAGCTTTCTTTGTTTCACAAAATTCCCCAACACCAACATGAGGAAGCATTTCTTTTTGAAGGATCTCCTTAGCATACCTGCATATTTTAAATAAGAAATAGATGAAACCGTTGATCAATCAAGGCAACAGATAAATTACCCCCGAATTCTGTCAATATGCTACTCACTTAATTCTTTTTTCCTTAGTTACACCAACAGTTGAACCTCTTTTCCCAATGTAGTCAAGAGCAACCTGGAGTGAAATTTGACTAAATCAGTTTGGGGGGGGGGGGGGGAATAGACCCGATACCAATCAGTTTCAAGTCCCTTCGCAAGCAGCACCCTGGAAGCAAGCAAATAATAATATTATTAATAATGGTAGAACCCACCTGTTGATTTTGAATTACAAATGCTTCCTCTAGGGATGGACGAAGTAACTCCATCATTTGTGTGTCAGAGAAGTCATAACATATATGTTCAAGTATATCTTTGTCTGCAACAAAACCCAACGCTCGAAACACAATTATAATGGGAATTTCAGTTCGAATGTACGGAAGTGTAGCACGTATATACTGTCCTGAAGAACCCTGAAGCAAACAAGAGAAACATGTTTAAATGTTACTACGAACATATTTAGTCATTATAAAAAATGTTCACTGTTGTCTTGCAGAACACCACCTGGTAAAAACTACAACTATAATTCACATTACCCCTTTGGAACTTGTCCTAGAGAGCATGCGCACAAACATGGTACTAGGTGGCCTGTTTTGGGACTCTGCCATAGACCTAACTTCAGCCACATAGGCATACTTGTTAGGTTGTCTCTTCTTAAAGACGTAGACATGATTAGTGCTCATCTTCTCCTGCGCAATTAGAACTTTTTCACTTCCATTTATAATGAAATAGCCCCCTTGATCATATGGACACTCTCCAAGCTCAGTCAAATCCTTCTCTGAATTCTGGTATAAAGTGCAATAACTTGACCGAAGCATTATAGGAACCTAACAAAGATAATAGGAGTCAGGTAACAAGAAAGATGTGAGCAGCCAATCCCAAAATGAATTACACCGTCTAAAACTAGACTTCATAAATGACGCACCTTCCCTATGAAAACCTTGGTAAAATCCTGAGTCTCAGTAACTTCTTCACCATCGTGCCCTTTTTTTATAACCCTCTTCGTGACATCCACGTACAAAGGAGCTGAATATGTAAGATTCCTCAACCTGGCTGCCTTGGGAAACAAGGTTGCAGTTTCTCCATCAGACTCGGTCATCATGGGCTTACTCAAGTAAATCTGACCAAAGCTGATCTTATAGATAGTCTGCAGAAAAACCCATTATCAGTAAACCTAAAGCACAACATGTACCACGCTAAACTTCTATTTCATTGAACTTACATAAAATTCAATGAAAAGAAACACACTTTAGATACTTGCGCAAGTCAAACAATCCGAAACTCATGCCATAGGAAAAACAACAAAGTAATATTGAAAACAAAAGGAAAACAGATTTAGGGTTCGAAAATTTCTCCTCCCGGAAACAGTACCTCAGCAAAATCGGACTGGTGACCTGGATTGTGTTGAGATTCAGGTCGGATTTCAATGTCGGCAGACTCGTCGACAATTTCCTGCATAGTATTTTGGATGAACTCATCGAAGGAGTCGAGCTGCTGGCGGACCAGTCCCTTCTCTTCGAAGTAGGCAGAAATGACAGCCCATGCGTCTTCCTGGGTGATCTCCTCTTCGTCATCCTCTTCTTCAATCATTTGATGATCGTACTCGAGATCCTCATCCATGATTTTCTTTCAAAAGCGGTATCTAAAATGAAGTTAATTGAGCTGTATTCGAATCAATTAAATCCTTATCGCTTCTTTTTTCTTTTGTTCTTATTTCGGTGTTCGTTTTGTTCTTCTCCCTATGGTACTGCTGCAGGAAGCATTCAGGATAGAAGGGACAGACAGCATACAGAAACCCTGGGGATTGAACGGCCGAAGGTTTAAATAGAAGAAACTGGGGACAGCTCGGTCAAGATTCAAGTAACTTAATGGAAAATCAAAAATAAATAATAAATAATGGATAAAGAGATAAAATTAAGAGAGAATTACGCTATAATCCCCGGCAACGCATTGAATGTCATAAGCTTTATTGAGAAGATTTTGCGATATTTAATTATCTTGTAAAAGACTTGTTTATAATTCTCTCTAAAAATAAATACAATTACTGTGGCTTTTATAGTTCTTAATATCTTATGAGTTTAATTAAAAATTAAATTAATATGATGCCTTTATATTTAATTTAATTGTGTGCCTTCAAAATCAATCATTCCTTATGAGTTATAGACAAAACACAAATCAAATTTAAATATTTTAAGATCATGAAGGTTAGTTGCATATATTCATAATGATTCCCACAAATATAAAAAATTAGGAGAGAAAAAACATATTTTTATAAAATACTCTAAACAATCAAAGGATTATATTTTCATTAGTAAAAATGATGATGGAACTATATTGAATCTATGAATGTCATATTTTTAGAAAATGAGTTTCTTAGTGATAAAGAAGTTAACCATATTGTATCTCTTTATGAGACACATAAGCAACATAATATAGAACAAACTAATATGCCTGAATTGTCGAAATATGCTAATTAATTTGAGTCGGAACTCTTAAAGGTCTATGAGGAGACATAAAAAGAATCAAAATTCACATGAAATTATACTTCGGAGAAGTAATAAAGAAAGTGTACCTAAAAGATGCTTCCAAATTAAGGGTGAAGCACTTATGATAACTCCTCAAGATAATGATAAGCTATGTTTTGTAAATGAATCTCTGTTAGGACTTACTAAGGATAAATGGAAGATAAAATAGATTCTATGAAAACTAATTAAGTATGAAATTTAGTTGATTTACCAAATAGCCGAAAGGCTATTGGAAACAAATGGATTCTCAAAATTTAAAAAAAAATGGATGGATTAATTGATACATACAAGACTCGCTTAGTTGGGAAAGGGTATATATAACAGGAGAGAATAGATTATGAATATACTTTTTCTCATGTTGTGTACTTTAATTCTATTAGACTAATTCTAGAAATAGTAAATATTTTAGATTTAGAGTTACACCAAATAAATGTAAAAGCTACTTTTTTAAATGGTGATCTAGATGAAGATTTCATTGAAAAGGGGAAAAAAGATAAAGTTTATAAATTAAATAGATTAATTTATGGACTAAAACAATTATCTAGACAATGGTATTTGAGGTTTCACAAAGTGATAACCTCTTATGACTTCCAAATGATTGAAGAAGACTGTTGTGTTTATATCAAGAGGTTCAAAGGGAACTTCACAATATTACCCCTTTATATAAATGATATTCTGTTAACCATAAATGGTCTGGATTTGATAATAACTATTAAAGAATAGCTTTCACTAAACTTTTAAAATGAAGAACATGGGTGAAGCAGAATTCATTCTTAGAGTTAAAATCCAAAAAAATCATTCTAAAAAACTCCTTTCTCTTTCATAGGAGAAATATATAAGGAAAATTTTTAAGCATTTTAACATAAAAAAAACTATAAAATCCATGGATACGCTAGTTGTTTTAGGTGTAAAACTTAGTTCTGATATGGGTCCTATAATTGAGATAAACAGATAGAAAATGGAAGTAGTTCCATATGCCAATGCAGTCAGAAGTCTAATGCATGCAATAATGTGTATAAGATCAGACATCTATTATACAGTAAGACTTGTGAGTCATTCCCAATCTAACGACAGTGAGGAATATTGAAAGGCTTTGAAGAGAATCTTAAGGTATTTGAAGTTATTGTTAATTACACTGTGTTACCAAGGGAGTAATATACACTTGATAAGATACTCGATGTGAATTTGGGCAAAGATGAAAATGAGCAAAGGTTGACTTTGAGCTATACTTGTTGAACAATACGGCTATTTATTAGAATAGCAAGAAGCAAATGTGCATTTCAAGAAACACTACAACCATAGCTTATACCAAAAATCCTATATACCATAGAAAAACCATACATGTAGACATTAAGTATAGTTGTGAAAAGGATTTTATAGTGCAAAAAATTGTCACTATACAATACATTTTCAAGAAACATATGGTAGCAGATTCCCTCACAGAACCCATAAACAAGGAGACATTTGAGAAACATGTAAAATCTTTTAGCGTGTCTAGATTGTGGAAAGACAAACTTGATGTAATATTTTGGTTATATTAATAAAAATTATTCATTTTTCATTTCTTTCATATGAGTGTGTGCGTGTGTGTGAGAGAATATACAATGTTTAATATGTCGTACAGGTTGATAAAGTTAGCGTGAGAATATACAATGTTTAATATGTCGTACAGGTTGATAAAGTTAGCTTTCACACACCAGTAACTGCTGTTAATGTAATGTCCGTCTTGACATTACCAATTTGTACCCACGCTTAACACACACAATAGTAATTAGGAGTTTTCAAACCATTAAGTTACCACAATTCATGAGTATAAAAAATATAAAAAATAATTCTTTAAAAATGGTTAGGATCTAAAAAATCTTTTAGTAACATATTAAAACACTAAAACATATGTATTTATGCATGACAAAAGCATTTAGAAATGAATAAATATGATATAATAAAATAGGGGCAAAGTAGTCATTTTTGCCTAAAAGGGATTGAGATTTATAGTTGAGAATAAGCTAAAAGGAGGTATGAGAATGAAGTGATATCATTCAGATTGAATTTAAATACTCAATAAGTGCATGAAAATTTATAGATAAATGATTTTAGAGTTATGATTGATTTGTCAGGAAATTAAGGGCATTATTAAAGTTAAAGTGAAAAGATAAGAGAAGAAAATTTTAGAATTCTTGAAAAACTCTCAGGTAAGTAAGTAGCATTCCGAATAAGTTTCTAGAAAAATGTTTAAGAAATTTCTTTGTTTAAATTTTAATATTATTCTTTTGTAGACTGTATGAACATTATTATGAAATTCTATTTTTATAATAATTATTTTATAAATGATCATTTCTTAATTTTACCTAAGATTTATGTTATTGCTGAGTAATAATTGAAGTTGATATATGATAAATGGTATTACTTCTCAAAAGTAACTTACTTAATAAAGTCTATGTTTGATATGAAATTTTTTTAAAATAACAATTTGTGCATGGAGGATAGGAAAATGAAATTAAGAAATAAAAAATGATAGTTAAACAGTATAATTGAAAGTGAAAAAATGAAAATTTTAGTCTTGTTCCATGCACGCTTGATTTTAATTAGGGGAACTGAGTTCAGAATGTTGGATGCTAATAACAGTTCTATTAGCCCTTAGCATGCCATAGTTTACCTAGCTAGTAAGGTGTTTGTAGGAGGTGTTAGCCTCATGGGTAGGCTAACACAAGTAAAATGGAGGGATGGATATTCGTGAGCATGGTACTCATGCTTATTTTTAGGTTTCATGCCTGCACTTGTTTCGTGGCTTTTAGCCACGATTGATTATTTTGTGGCTCTAAGCCATTCTTGTCGATGACTTACGCTTGTGAATCGTGTGTCCACACTTGTTGGCCACTTATTCTCATGGATATTGTGTCCATGCTTGTTAGTCATTCTAATTAAGTCCCGCTAAAGAAGAAATTTTAAAACTATTTTCTTTAAATTTAACCTCAAGAAGCAAACTACTATTTTTACTATATATAGATTTCATATTGAGCAATATATTTCCTAATACGTTTAAGTATTTGCTAAAAGAAATTTGAACTTCTAATAATTTTTATTTGGATTTATATATTCATGGTTTATACAGTTACCTAATTATTAATGTTGATATTTATGAAGCGTGTGTTTATATTATTTTTAATTGATTATTTTCATAAATTTGTAATTGATTCATGGATTTGCTTTCCATTATTTCCTTTAATTGTGAATTGGGACACTATTTACTAAAAAAAAAATTTGGTCTCAATATTAAAATTGGCCTTGCATTTCCTACTAATAACTAAGGGACACAATTGCTTTTAGCAACTGTGGAAGCATGTATTAATTACTTTTGATATACATATATTTTATAGTATGAAACTGTAACTTAGTGCTCTACATATATCATAGTTAGGTCTGAGTCTTATTTGTCGTTGTAAAATCTACTGGTGTGGAGCTAAGTTTTCTCTTGGTTTGGCTAATAGTTTTTGCTACTATAAAAAGTTTGGGAAGTCCTAATTATAGGAGAGATTTTACCAACATTTTTACAAAATGTTTAAGATTTTACCAAGTTTATAATTATATATACTATAGACTTTTTGACTAGTAGGGATTATTTATTGATGTTTCATCTTAATATCTAGTTAATTACGATTTATAGAATGTGAATTTATCTCATCTTATGTGCCAGTCATATCCTTAGTATTAAGGTGTGACAAGATGCATAAGTATACTTGAATCGAATCATGGATCCCCATATTCCAAGTTATATATAGCCAAACAACAAATTATTTTGAATTGATGTCATGCCAGATCAATAAAGTAGAAGAATTTGAATTTAGGTTTGGTGAATATCTTTTTTGGCCAAAGTACGATGAGTATCTAAACTTAAGTTTGTATAATGTTAATAATAAATGAAAACAACATTTGCTCTTATAAATAAGAGTAACATCATATCATGTGTTTCATACCACACGTGCTTAATTAAGAACTGCAAGTAGGAAGTAAGTGAATAAATCCCTACTTTATTGCTGCATGAGTCTCAGAAAGAAAAAATTATTTCAATGAATGATGTCCTTTGACTTTGATATTATCATGGAGATATATCACAATGTTTGCTATTTGACATATGTCCCATGATCATGATAGATACGATCTACATGTATAATGTTAACAAAATGGTTGTTTCCTGTCAAAGTGATATATGGGTAAAAGAAAGATTATTTAAAGTATGCACATCTATACTAATGTCCAAGACATATCCCTTATG